GTGTTTTGGTTTTTTTTGGTGGTTGGTAGCGAACACAAGAACTTCAGCCTTCACATTCCAGGTTCAGGACAAACTATTATTTTTTTGTACTTTTTCTTCTTCGGCAGAAATGTCCAGAGTTTCCGATAAGTTTAAACACTGAAGCCGAAGTTTGTTCAGTTTCACTGATAAGCAAAATGACTCTCCGTCTCATCACACGCACACAAATGTTGAAGGTGGGAGCATGTGAGCCGGCTGTGCCTCCGCTGAGGCTTTTAATAAGAAAGCCACTGTCTTTTGTGGGATTTTCTGATGTTTGCTGTGTAAAAATCATAGAGAGGGTTGAGACGCCGAGTCCCCTCTGCAGGGAGGGAGCTGAAACAAAGAGCGCTTTACTCTCGGTTCGAGGAAAAACAGCTGCAGGCCTGGAAAACATGCATCAAAACACTTTGTCTCTGTCTCACCACCTTTGTCCAGCCATTCATAGCTTTGTTCTGCATGTTTTAGGTCTAAATATACAGCACTTCTCATTTTTATTCAGGCTCACGGACCACAATAGGCCTGTGAAAGGTGCAGCCTGAACTAAATGTTTTGTTGCCATGGTGAACTTTCAGGTGCTTCAGTGTTGTCTCCAGTTGTACCATCAACTCGTAAAGACGTAGTTTAGGTTGCTTACTTAAATAAGTTTTGCTAAATAATCAACAGTTTCCCTGTCAACATGTAAGTTGTCACCTTTCAACGTTTTTTTTGTTGTCTGTTTGATCAAGGGTTCGACATTCAACTACTTTCACGTCAAAGTAAAGCAGAAAATTTGCACAAATAAGAGGCTGGACCTGGGAAAGGTTTTGAATTTTTGTGTCAAAATAATTTTAAGCATCAGTTTATTGGTAAAATAGCTGACAGCTGGGCCATTCTGTGTCATATCACACAATGTCTGCTGGATTTTATTGAAATTTCCATGGTATGAAATTTAGATACTTGTAAGAATATTTGTAAAAGATTTTTAAAAAATGTCATAAATTCCCATCTTTGAGCTCACATTAGTAGGAAGTTGATAATGCAAAAGTCAAATAGTGATGCTTTCTGAACCATATGTAATTGCATGTCGTAATAATACGACACAACACATGTAGAATACTTTTTATTTGGAATTTCTTGATCACAAAAAATGAAAAGAAAATCATTTTTGTTGAACTTTCATGACTGATTGAGCAGGTATGACAAGTTGTACCACGAAAACAAGACATTAGATAATACAAGCAGAATATAAGTGGAAAAGATTTTGTGAAAAAATGTGCTGAAAGTGGGTCAAGGAGCAACTTTAAAAAACAACCTTTTACTTTACTTGTTATAACAATCTAGAATTTCACAGATATCATTTTACATATCCATCCATCCATCCATCCATCCATCCATCCATCCATCCATCCATCCATCACAAATTAATCTCAGTATGTTTTTGGACTGTGTGGGAGGAAGCTGGAGATCTGATGATCTGAGATGGAATAACAAAGTCATTTTTCTGTTGATTTATTTACACGTCTTGTTTCAGCTCTAAGATAGTTTGCTATAATACAAAACGTATACCTCAACAAAACGTACCTCAGAAAAATTCATTTATGTCGTAATGTTGTTTCATAAAGAAGTTAAAATCTTGACTGTAAAGGCTCAAGCATATGTACAGTTTTCTAGAGACAGGTGTGTAGGAGGAAATGCTCACAGGTAAAAGAAGAGAAAACTCCCACACACTGT